GGTGTTGTTCAACATAACATGTTATTTTATGATTACTATGCCGAGTAGGTACTACCTACGTTCAATTTATTCTTATCAATGAAATTATTCACTACCATCCACATCGTCTCGTTAAATCTTCAGACTTGATTAGTTTGTCAACCTATTCTTTGTTTGAAGAAAGATTCAATTTTATTTAAAAAGGCTTGAATTTTTATTTAATTGTAAATTAAAATTAATTTAATTATAACTTCAGATTTCTGTTTTACGATAATATATATTTTTAATTAATTGATGCAAATTTGAATGAAAAATTTGTATCTTATTAAAATTTTTGCAAAATGGACTTTTTAATAAACATTACGCATAATAAAGATTTAAAGTATTCAAATGTGAAGAGTTGCATTATCGCCGTGTTTCAATAAAATCTAGTATTATTTTAAATTATAACAAAAATTTTTTCATTTGAATAGCAAAAAAAAAGTAGACAATCTACGATTGTCTATAATAAATAAATTCTCCCTAGTTGACGCTCAGATTGTGCACAAAAATGAACAATTTGGGAAGAGAAGATTCAAGCCTTTGTTAGTTGTTGACAATCGGTAATTACCGATTTATAGTTATAAAAACGAGCCGCAAGGCTCGAATAATCATATTTTCTCTTCCCAAATTGTCCATTTGTGTGTACAATCTGAGCGTCAATTAGGGAGAATTTACTGTAATCGGAAAGCATCTGTTATTACGATCTATTTTCGAAAAAAGATAGCTCTAATCATAATAGCAGTCCTCTCTAGCCTCATATCGCAAATTTGAAGTAATAAGAGAGAGCTTGCCAATTATTATGACTAAAGCAATTTTCTTTCAAAAAATAGACATTAAACAATATTGTGCGAAGAGTAGAATATTTGGGTGTAGAAAGCTTCTCCAGTAGTTTCTACCTGCTCCTTAGGAAAAAAACCGAAAGGGTCGAAAAGAAATATGGGAATAGTCGGTTGAATTGTTTCCTATGTAGGGAGCAGGTAAAGTTCGATTCCTGAAAGCAGAAAGGTTTCCCCAATACAATCCTAATAGATTTAAGTTGAAGTCGTGTTAGGTATGTCGAATATTTTGGGTGGTCCTGTATTTCCATACCTCGGAAATAATACGTGCTCTTTTGTGTTATTTTAAACGACATTCCTTTTTTGGCTGTTTAATATTTATTTTTTGTTTGTCAACCATAAATTTAACTCACTTAAATGCAATTAATGGGAAGAAACAACACGTGTTAGAAAAGAATGCGTACTGTTTCAAGATTTAACTAACGGTTAGAAATACATATTTCGGGTATCGTAAATACTGTTTTTATATATCTATATTATATATTATTTTAATATACGCTCAAATCTTTAAAATGTATTTAATGCAATTACAAATTAAGATAATTAGAAATATTTCAATTAAATAAC